GGGGGGGGGGAGTGGGGTCGAGAAAGTGAAAGAATCGGCTCACTCAAACAGAAGGGGGCATGAGAGCGGTTCGCATAAATAAATTCGAATTGAATGGAAGTAACCAAGAAAGTAGGACGGATCATGTGTTCAGTTGATGGGTCATGAATAGAGACGTGAATGGTATCGGCGGAGTGCGGAGACGAGCGATTGCAAATCAGCCTCTTGATGCCATCATAAGTGGGTGATAATTGGAGAGGAAGGGATGGGAGTATTTTCTGAGAGCTAGATTCGTTTTGGCACAAACGATCCAGTTCTATTGTGAATTCTCAACACATGTAGTCGCCTTGTTTGTGGCATTTTGTTGGGAACTATTACCATTCTGCTGGACTAGTTTTGCTTGTATAAACATATGGTCCTCGTTTGTGCCTGATATTTTCCCAGCTGTATCTGCCGTCGCCGTTGGAATTCGATCAGCCGACCGATTAGCCAGCAAAGTTGATTGAACTCCCAAGCGAGGTTGTTGTTGCTGTTGTTGTTGTTGACGGAACGAAGCAGTATTGTTTTGAGTTGTGTGTATAGGACCTGTTTCCGACTCTCTGCCTAGTTCGTTTTCCGGGACAAGACAACCGTTTCCAATCGATTGATAAGAAGCGGCTCCCATGGGCGGTTGACGTGCCGGTGGGATGCCGAAAGTGGACGCTTTTAGAGTTCCGTCTAAATCTGAACTGTCGGTACCGTGATGATTTAATAGTTCATCCGGATGTCTTCGGTTCGGAATTGGTGTGGTTGAAGAACTTTCGTCGACAGTATTGTCCTCACTAGTATTTGTCCCTGATGTGGTATTCTGTAAAAGAAATATTGTACCGTGAATGCATTGACCGAATTCGGTGGCATCGCTTATACCCAACGTTTACAAGAAGTTAATTAGCTAGTCGATGGGCATATAAACGTGACTTGTTTGCACAAATACCACAGATGCGGTATGTCCAGAGCAACAAAAAGTGGCTAACATAAAACAAAACGTCTCATTCAGTGATTCAGCACTTAATAAGATAACTAAAAGCATTTGATATAAGATGGCTAGGAGAGTTCCTTCCCTGAAGAATGGTTTACCCTGAAAGTAGGTTACAAGTGCTCTGACATGGCGGACTTCATTAGTAGAGCAAATCAACGTTTCACACTCTGTCTTTTGCTATTTCTTCCGCTTGTGGATTATCTAGACTCAGACATACAGTCACTTNCATACTGGTGAAGCTTACAGAAAGTTAAAAATTTGGTAGCGATAGAGCTGCTGGTTTTAATTGTGCTCATAAATGGTTATTCGCAACTCAATGCTAGGAAAATTCAACATCTAATGTGGACAACTGTAAACCTCTTAGTTATACTTGACCGAAATATGCTCATCACAGAAAAGAGAATCAAGAATAGAGAGTTCGGAAAGAGCCAGACCTCTGATATTAAGGAGGCCGTGGGGTTGGGGGGGGGGNTAACAACCCGGCAGAAATTGCGAGGAGAACGCTTTGAATTGAACTGAATCCTGTCATGCTACACAAGTTTATGCCAACAGCTTTACTTGAGTAGATAACCAAAAGGATGCTGTTTTTTTGGAGGGAAAGAATTTAGGGGTTTTCAACGGGAGATTGGTTTAAGGTCAGAGGGAGCAGATCTATGAGAAATGACTCCATGACCTAAGACCGTTCTCTCTCTTTCTCTCTCTCTCTCTAGCGTGTAGAACGCTACGTGAAGACTAAACAGAGACCTGAAATGTAATGAAATGTTTATTCCACCTCTGCTCAGAGAATCGATTTCATGAGGATTCAAAGTTCCGAACAATGTGGACCATAGATGGAAATTTACAAAATTGTGTAAGTCTCACTTCGATAAAAATTGAATATACGCGTTCTGATCTACCTACCCGAGGATCTAAGAGGAATGCGAAAATCGCGCCGTTCTCCAAGGTAGTCAGTCACCTTGGAAGTGAGTCGAGCGATTATATTTCTTTATTTTCGACTGAAACCAGTGAATACCACCGATAGAATTTTCGAAGTTTTGGTTGGTTGCCATGGTCACTTTCTTTTCTAGCACTATCTGTACAAACATTTTGTATGATAAGGACGATCATCCATTAGCAAACGTAGTTGTAATTCACAAACTTGAATTTGAATTAATTCTCATTCTCTTCAGGGCATCTCATAAAAGAGTTGCATTTTTTGACAGAATTTGCTTGGGTTTCTTTCATCGGATCAAAATGAACTATGTCCAGTACTGTATTGTCTCCGATTTATCTTCTCAATGCACAAAAAGAAAAGCAAAACCACGAAGCACTAATATTCGTTTAAACCCCCAATGTAAAGTATGCAGTGGTATTTACTCTTTTTGCTATAGTCACCTTCCACACAATAAATCTTTGAGATTGCAGGTCATGTTATCGAACCAAAATAATCTTCACAGATGTGTGATTTTCCATTTTTTTTATACAGACTATGCTCTCTAGACGTGTATCGACCGAGTAAAATGCATAAATGTAATCTGACAACAGGGTATGAAAAAGATCAGTAATTCTGTTTACTAGCAACGCGTCATTTCTTTATTCGGAATAAAAGTGAGCAGATCGAGGAATCCCTCCAATTTGTTCCCATTAAAATTGTGATCTACTTTATCCCTCACCGTGGTCGAACGTATTGTGGCGGATGTTTGTGTATCCATAGTAACCGGATCATCTCGGACCAGGAACATACTCTCTTCCATCTGACCTTCCCCGACTCCACGACTTTCTGCCGGTCCCGGACTGTTCACTGACTTCAACGGACTAGTCCGTATTGTTGTATTTGGTGAGTGAGCGGTTTGATCGTTTGTTCTATGCACAGTCACTTGCTCGGTCGTCCCGACTGTTTTCCCATTGGTCGATTGGATAATAGACTGGGTATGGGATTCCGTGCCTGCTGTTGATGAAGGTGTATGAGACATTGGTGGTAACGGCGGTGGCCCCGATGGTGGTGGTGAAGTGACGATTGCCGGCGTCTGGATCTGTGTTCCAAACGGTCGAGCCTGGTAGTTGGCTGCATTCTGAGACTGTTGCTGTTGTTGTTGTTGCTGTTGTTGTTGCTGCTGCTGCTGCTGTTGTTGTTGCTGCTGCTGTTGGGCATGAAGCATTTGTTGTCTTTGATGTTGGAGTTGAAGTTGTTGAAGCTGGTGTAGCTGATACTGATTGAGTGTGGTTTGCGGTGGGACACGGAAGCCAGCAACTGGTTGAATTAGCGTATGCGGTGGTTGATGCTGCCCCAGAAAGCCATACATACCCGACGGTGGTGAGCTGGGAGATTGTGGATGGGAGAGGTGTAAAGAGTTTTGTCCCCGATCACTGGTCGATGAGGATGGGCTATGAGCCTTATGTAATTCCGAGGATCCCTTAGACGAATTTGTATCCAAGGGAGGAATACCGTGAAATTGATGCCACATGGTCGGTCGTTGCAATTTGGTACCCGCTTGGCGTGGATCGTTTCGCATCTGCTGATGAAAACGTTGAGCCATTTGAGCCTGTTGTAAGGTGGGCACTGTAAGTTGTTGGTTTCCGTGAGCGGTGCTATTTGGATCGAAATGATTCAGACTGGCCGTCGGTGTGATCTGTAAGTGAGTTAAGGAAAGAGTCAAGCAGTATTGCCAATAAAGTTAATTGTGATTTGTAGTTAAAAAGAACAAAGCACATCACAGATTATCTCCCTTTTTATACAACTGCACCACACCACTGCAAGCAGAAACTCATGCAAATGAAGAACTGCCACAGGACAAAAAGTGTCTTAAACTCTAGGTGTATCTAAGTGGGGTTCAAAATAAACCTTCTTTTATTCTTCAATGAATGTGTTGAGTGGCTCATAATAAATTAAGTCCCTGGTAGCTTTTAATTTGATACGCAAAAATCAATACAATTTTTATCTCGACAATCAGCTGTTCAAAGCGTCTGACGGGTCGTAAAATTGGCATAAAATAGATTCATTGAGCGTTAACAGCACAAACAACAGACAAATTGTAACGGAAATGGATGGGGCTTTAAAAAAATCTTTCCTTAATATGTTGTGTGCAGTTCAACGTGATTGGTGCTAAATTCAAGTAAACACGACATTGAGATACACATGCTTTCGTTTGAGCATCGTCAATTGCCATAATTAAGCCTGTAACTTGACTCAGTTTGCTCACGGAAGCCCCAGGGCAGGTTTAGACCTGTGAGAGTATTTCAGTGTGAATAACCTCACACCCCTTATGTCTGTTCACGGCTAGAAAGTACATTTAAGAATTATTCATTCCTTTGTGCCATACATGCACACAGATACAGGCAAACATACCTACATAGATACATGAATACCGATACTACAACTGTTGTGAGATACTACTCGCAATTGTGAGTAGTTTATATAAGCCAAGAAAAGATTATTGGATTCCCATGGAATTGACGAGTAAATTAGAGGATTTACTTTTGTATTCACGAGGAACGCGCATTTACTGTCGGACCGTTCTAGCATATATCCTGCATGCTTCTGGGAATTCCGAAAACTTGTTCCAAATGGGATATTTTGGTGTATGTATGCCAATTTAATTATACCCTTACTACTACGTGTAGTGAGCACTTCCCGCGTCTGCCGCTGTCTTGTGGATTCATAACAATACTACTACTGTTCGCATTCACTATCACTTAGACCCGTGTCTGGAATCTTCCATAATACAATGCAATTGGGCAACAAAAACCTGCTTGATAGGTGATCCTCCAATCCAAATTTACCATACAGTGCTCAAATCCAGGGGCAATGACGTACAAGCACAATATTGAATATCTTCCGCAGGATCTAGATCTTCCAAAAGGCCAGTTCAAGTAGCTCCGATGGGTCCGATTATAAACTATTCCCTTCTCGGTCCCAGAGCTGATAACTAGTTGGGGAGAGAAGGCGTCGTTGGCAATCATTTAAAACCAACAAAGGAAATAAATGCGTAATAAAACCAACCTACTGTTGTACTTATTGACACAATCACTGTGCTTGAAGAATCCTTGCCTCAGATACATGCCAAGTTTTCTTAAATGGAGTACGTGATATATAAAGCCGACTGAGAATCTCAGAATCTGCAAAACCCTAGGAGGATCATATCCACGAAAAAAAACATATAGAGCAAATCTAAATGACTGCCCTTCCCGTAAATCGCCAGTCTTACCTCTCCTGTTGAGCTACCGGGATGACCCATATATCGTGATCCGAAAGCGGCCGAATGCAAACTCTCCCCATCTCCGCTTCCGTTACCTATTTTTTGCACATGCATCGAGCTGGCCGGTCCGGTCACCGAAGCCGCGCGGGACGAGGGACGCCGTAGTGTGTACGGATTGACCAGATTCGTCGATGACGCGGCATGTTGCATGAGTAAATTCACATTCATGTTGCGCATCACAGACGCGACAGCCGCTGCAGCCGCTGCTCGCGCAGCCGCTTCCAAACTCAACTGACTTGGATTGCGCAAACTGGATAGTGAGGCCCCGGACAGACTACCGCATTGGGAGTGCGATCGAGAGCTCCGCGTACCCATTTGAACTGACAGGCGTGAACCACGATGAGGTGCCTGATGCATCAGCCTCATTTCCGGTTGATTCAAACTGTTAGGAACTGGAGACGCTGAAACCAATAATGAAAAATCGATCAATATTAAGAAGTGTTGATGCAAAGCAGTAGACTGGACGGTTTCATAAATCTAAATATGTACGAGAATTGAAAAACTAAATCATATTGTTAACAATCTTTCACTAAATTTTATTCAATGTTTACCATCAGTTTTCGGGAATAGGTAAGTGACCAACGAAAGGGTTCTAGGGAATTCAACGACGCGATTCACTTCACGTTCCACTTCCTTGTTGGCAATGAGTAGATATCCCTGCGATCGACCTCGAGTGACTGCAGCTAGGTTATTATTCGTCAATATACAGTTCATCGATTTCCGTTGAATACACTTAGTGAGATAAGGCCTCCCGCCATTCGTTCATTTGCTATCATATACCGATCACATTCTCAAACTTACCACCTCTATTAAAATTTCTATTATGAAATTAAAAAAAACTGATCAGTTCCTCAAAATGATATTTTCAACTTGTGATGCAATTACAGATTCTTGCATTCAACATGAAAAGGAATATCTATTCTCTTCCTCATAGATCTTACCAAGTGAAGCAGATATAATCCAATTTATATAAAATTTACGGGGATAATGTCCAACCTGACATAAATCAGTTGGGGGCGGGATGATTCGTGAAGCTTCTGCGAACCATATGTTACAGGTTTGTGGTTCGACAAACTTTATGTCGATGAAAGTGAAAACCGCGTACTGCAAATTTGGGGATCTTTCCATGATTGACATCTGTGCTGTGCATGAAACGCTAAGCGGTGTGTGTCTGTACTTGTGCGTGGGCATATGTGTGTGTATTACATGCACCAACTGGGATGTGCCGAGAATAAACAGAACCGGGGGATTCGAAGTCGATACACCTCCTCGGGATACACGGGCATACTACAGATTTGTTGCACCGATCAGTGAGCGATAGGGAAACATGGGAAAGACTATCAGGGGAGATCCGTTTCTAAGTTCACTCCGCGGTAGTGTCATCAAAACTTTATCGTCAACCTCTCTTTTATTATTATTATTATTTTGCAGTCTTTCGGACCGACTTTGACACCATTAGATGATGATGATAAAAGTGGACAGATCAGATTGAATAAATGGGACTCGATGCATCAGTTTATCGATCCGCATTGCACGCAACAATGTGCCATTAGATCAATCGATCGGTCGTCAGTAGTAAGCCGGGCTTGGAATCAATTTTACCACTACAATCACCATAGTGCATGACAACGATTAAGAGGCAGGTATGCTGATGAAATAACCGTATAATGGGGGCCAGGTAAGGTCCATTTAGTATTTCTAAAGGAACCAACCGCATTAACTAATGATAAATGACTAGGTAATCAGAACCAATCAACCAAGGTTGATCATCAAATGGTTACTACCGTACATCTTTATTAAAGTAATGAAAAATCTGAGGTCTCCGGTAATTTCGTTTGATTTGTTTTTTTGATCGATGGAACTATTTTTTAAATAGTTCTCCAATGACGTGAAAATGAACCAATAAATGGGACTGCACAATGCAAAACTTTTTTTTGCCCCTAAGGTGTCTTGAGAGATTTTGAAATGTTCTGATTGATACTGTGTTGTTCGAGTGCAGCCACCAAAGTATCATGATGCCTTTTGGGGAAGCCAGAGGTGAACACTGTCTTTCGTGAGGACGATTTCTATGGGGATCTACCACCACACCATCGGCAACACAACGCTAGTACAGAACTTAAACAGTATCATAACACAGATATTTATATTTACATTTATCCAACATAACAGGTTCGAAGTAATCTGCCTGGGACTGTTTCCCAACGAGCGATAACCCTAGAGGATGGTGCCTGGGTGCTCTCAGAATTCTTGTTCAGATAAACTGTGTTGTGTCGGGAGCAGATAAAGTGCAACAGTATGTGATAAGCGTCTCGGCGGCCAGGTGGGTAGTTTCATTGCATTCCGAGCTGAAAGCTCAGATGGTTTTGATAGATTTTCACTACTGATGCAATCCAACAAGGTCGTAATGGATGTGTGCAGTGCTTCTGAGCTTTTTAGTTCCCACCTTCGTTTCTCCGGGAAAAGAGCCATTGAAAAAAAGTTATTTCAATGTTTCAAGTGGAACCACGTTTCGATGGAAAGCTATCGGTCAGTAAGCGGAGCACTTCTGCTCAACTCCACCGCTCGACTACAACAAACGGAATATGTTCTTCCAACGGGGACTATGTGTTGCACGTGAAGTTGTTAATTACGGCTTAGAATCGAGAATTTGACCTCGAGTGGCCCATACTTTGGATTGGATAACATGATAGTATTGAAAATTCATGATTCACTTAGACTCATCCAATATCGTTTCAGGTTCATTTCATTGTTGGTAAGAGGACACTGCACCACAGCCCAAAAAGAGACCGGTATGAAATGAAATACAATCCTTATGTAACACTCAGGTTCATAGGGAGGGAGTATTAGCATTCTAATCTGAATCTGTGTTAACCGATTAGCAAAAGACAAAGGGACTGAATTCCAAAAAGCGCAGCTGAGCATTTCAATATTTAGTGGCTCAAATTCATGTACCACTCTTTTACCCGTAGGGTCCCAGAATTCTTGAACAGCCTGTATATTCACCAGCCACGGGGATCCAAGAGATCGCGTTCAGTCAGTCCACAAATAATCCCGACTGATTTCATTGTATTGTATTGTGCAAACACTGGAGCTCATATTTCAGTTTAAAGAACATACACGCTAACCGTCACAATGTACGTAAGCAACGGGGAGAGGGCCTTCGGATCTACGTGTGAGACCCCTACTCAATGCCGGTC